ATATAATGTCGTAGGCGTAGAGTCCACCCTACAAAGCATCCCTTTTCTCCAGGTGAACTGATCTCTGTAGTCTGGAGATTAGTTGTAATTCTAGGAGTTCTCCAGGCCCGCTTGGAGGCTGCTAGTCCTAAGCAGATCTATACCCTTCTAAGTCAGTGAACTTATAAGGGTGACAGTGTAGCTCTCATCAGAAGGTGAAATATGGATCTCTTTGGGACTGACAATTCCCTCAGTGGGGGAAAGAAAAGTTAGCGCTAATGTGCACTAATTCTTTAAGTGCATGCAAATTTGCAGCGAGTGGATTGCTTTACACTGAAACTGATTTTAAAAAAGGACTGCTTCTTCACTGGTTGGAATTCTGTGTACTGCTTGTCAATATTCTCTAAGGCCCGCCCATGTGAGGAGGAGCAATGGCTGCACAGCGGACTAGACTGCATGGCATTTAGGGCCTGGAGAGTGGACCAGCAAGCTTACCATTGCACAAGCTGTGCTCGCTGCAAGACTCCATCAGTGGGACACGTTCCTCCGGCTTGAGCCCCCCGCGACGACCCTTCACCTTGGAGTCCATGTTGGCCTGCACCATGAGAGGTTCCTGACGCTTGCGGCGCTGCTTCTTTTCAATGATACGGCGCTGATGGGGACATGGAGAGAAGCTCAGAAAAGAGAAGGCAGGTGAAGTACGGAGCTTGTATTTCCCTCCCTCAGTCAGACATTGGGGTGTGGCTGTCTTTAGGCCAGGCCAAAGTCACCCAAGGTAGCATCCAGGACCACAGGGCTCTTTGCACATGCCCAGGAGGATCTTCTCAAAGAGGAATCCCTTCCCACCCATTCCCAACTGGTTTTGAAACTGAGGGCATTGGGAAGAAGTCGAAAGATTTCACTGGGCATGCCCACACCCTTCAAGACTCCTAAAGCTCTCTTGATCTTCCACCCAGAACGTATAACTAGCTCTACAGCGTCATCTTAGACTGGTCCATGTTGTTGCTTTTCTTTTAGCTCATTGTGCCATGCCAAAATACAACAAACACCAATACAATAATAATAATAATAATACAATAATAACAATAACAGTCTTTGTATTCAATATATTATTGAATAAATTCAGTAAGTCAGTAGCCATGGCACCATGAGCATATATATACACCAGCTGGTGTTAATTCTCACAAGCCAAGTCTCTTTGATTTTGATTTAACACATCTTTTAAACCGAAGAAAAATCTTGTGAGAATTAACACCAAGTTGGTGTGTGTGTGTGTATACACACACACACACACACACACTCATTGTGCCATGGCTATTGACTTACTGAATTTATTCTAGAATATACTGAATACAAAGACTGTTATTGTTATATTATTATTGTATTGTTTCACATGGCGTTTGTTGTATTTATGCACTCGTCGTTCACCATGATCCCTCTTGTTATAGAATTACATTGTGCCATGCTAGCAAGTCCATGACAGATACACAACTTCCAGGACCCTTGTGAGGCCTGTTTAGGACTATGGGAGACTGAGCTGAGTCAGCAGATGCTCATCTCCAAAGGCTCATCCCCTTTATGCCCACAAACAGTGCCGGAGGTTGGCAACAGGAAAAGTCCAGGGCCCAGAAACCTGATCACACCACCATTTTCACTTCACGGTAGGGAGGGTATGGTGACAGCAGAAGCTCTATGAGCCTCTCTCTGCGGGATCCGGCCTGACCACTAGGCAGTGTTCTAGGGCTGCCGGCTCTGGGTTGGGACATTCCTGGTGATTTTGGGGGTAGAGGCTGGGGAGGGCAGGATTTGGGGAGGAGAGGGAACCTCAGCAGGTTATAACGCCATCGAGTCCACATTCCAAAGCAGCCATTAGGGGAACTGATCTCTGTAATCTAGAGACTGCTTGTAATTCCATGAGATCTCCAGACATCACCTGAAGAATGGCAACCCTTCAGGAAAACCCAGGCAATCGCCTAGGCTGCCAGTTGTTGAGGGGAGCCAAAGAGGCAAGAGGAGCCTCCTTCTCCAGGCTTGAAGAGAAGCTTGGCATTAACTGGCTTCTAGAATCTGCGTGGATGTTGACTCTTGTCTTCTGTAGCTTCCATAATGGAACACAGAGGGCTTCCAAAGAGCTTCTCTATTTTCATTTTTACATTATTCATTTTGAATGCTCGGTATGTAAAACGTTCATTGTAAACTTCTCCCTTTTTTCTCTGTTGAGTGGGGAAGGGGACACCAACGTCATAGTTTTCCCAGGGCACCAAAAATCTTTGGGCCGGCCCTACTCTCTGCCTGCTTTTGATCTTACTAGGACCTGGTTGCAATACGAGAGATCCCACCAATGCTCCCAATCCCTCTCTGTGTTGCAGCAGACTATGCAACCAGGCTAAGAGGGGTGGGGACCAGTGTTCCCTCTAAGCTGAGTTAGTGTGAGATAGCTCACAGTTTTTTAGCCTCCGGCTCACGCATTTTTGTCTCAGCTCAGGAAGGGTGGCTCCGGAGCAAACTGGTTTATGCAGTGGCCAAATCGCTGGCTCACAGCTTTAATGTCAATAGCTCACAAAGTAGAATTTTTGCTCACAAGACTCAACAGCTTAGAGGGATGGGGAGTCGGGGACCAGAGAACTCTCTGAAGCACGAGACTATCCTGACATGGGTGGCTTAGGCTCGCCTGATCTCATCAAAACTCAGAAACTAAGCAGGGGTCGGCCCTGGTTAGTACTTGGATGAGAGACCACCAAGGGAGCCCAGGGCTGCTGTGCAGAGGCAGGAAATGGCAAACCACCTCTGGACGTCTCTTTCCTTGAAAACTCTACAGGGTTGTCATGTCACATCAGCTGCGACTTGACAGCACTTTCGACCACCAGAGAACTCTCTAAGGCAGGGGAGGGTTCCTCAGCTTGCCACTTCTGCCCATTCTTTTCCCTGCCTATAACAAAAGCCAATGGATGGGTCTTGCCAAAATCCTGAATAAGATACAAGCATCATCACTGTGCTAAATTCAGGAAACTGTGAGGCGAACATCGGACAGCAGAGACCCTCAGAGATGCCCTTTCTCAAAAATCCAGCCCGGAAAGCCTTTCCTCCCACGGTACCTGGTATTCCAATTTCTGCTGCCGGAAGGATGCTGCTTCATCACTGCCGTTTCTAGAATCAAAGGAGGGGCCAACATCAGGCGATGAGTTGCGGAGAGACTGGAGACGGCGGTACAGATTCCAGTACATTCTGGGATGTGGCCTCAGCCTGCCGGCCCTGGAGCAGCCACAATCACAAATGGCTGGCTCCCTGGGATGGCTCCTTCCTGGAAATTCTGAATGCCATAGCGCCAAAGCATCGTTGTGACCTCACAAAAGCCCCACGAGGCAGCCACTGGTTGGGTGGGAAGGTGCCTAGACAGTAGACAGGCATCCCTAGACCATGGGTCCCCAACCGTTTTGAGCCTGTGGGCACTTTTGAGATTCTGACACAGTGTGGTGGGTGCAGCTACAAAATGGCTGGCACAGGAGGCAGAGACAACCACAAAATGGCTGCCACAGCTTAGTTTGAGTCACACAGTGAAGATCCCTGTGCTGTGGTGGCAGCTGCTGCCAAAGCAAAGTTTTTGGAAATCTGCACAACCAATCAAATCTCCAGTGGCCAATCAGAAGCCTTGCTGGCAAACCCTTCCCCCCATCTAGCCCCAGTCACTTTCTGAAAACAATCGGTGGGCACCAGAAAAGGTCTTGGGGGGCACCATGTTGGCAACCCCTGCCCTAGACCATCTTCACGCAGATAATGATTTTGATTTAGCACATCCGCTTTGGAGTCCACAGTTCTATTGAACTCCTGTATTATTAACACTGTTGGAGAAGAGAGTTCAAAATGAGAAAGGAGCAGGAGTAGGCTTGCCAAGTCCCCCCGGGGGGTGGGGAAACCACCGCCCCAGAGGCCCGTTCCCAGCCACGGGCGGATCGGGCCCCGGGGAGAACCCCACCCCCCAAAGCACAGGATGTGCCCGGCATCAGCACGTCACCCGGAAGTGACGCAGCCACACCAGGCACGCCGGGGGCAGGGCCACGGTCATCTGTGGGAAAATTCTATGTTTTTCCCTTGGATGACTGCAGCCCCGCCCCCGACGCGCCCAACGCAGCCCTGTCACTTCCGGGTGACGTGCGTGCTTTGCGCGCGCGCTCCCAGAGGAAGACGGGAGTCCCCCCGCTGTGGATTATTTACGACTTGGCAACGCTAAGCGGAAGCTAGGACACCTCTGAAAACAGAGGTCGTTCCCTAACAGTGCACTCCTAAAATTCCAAAAGTTCCTCTTTTGGACAATTCAATAGCACCAAATACCTTAAGATAGCACTCATACAAAGCAGGACAATAAAAAAAAGCCTAAGGGGGGGACATAGAGAGCCGGAGTGATAGATAGGTCAGGACCTGTGCATCCCTTCCTTTCCACTGCTCTGATGCTGTCCCTGAGAGTTGTAGATTGCTACTCTCAGGAACCCTTCCTTCCTTCCTTCCTTCCTTCCTTCCTTCCTTCCTTCCTTCCTTCCTAATAACACCCCCCTCCATCTTGCAACCAGAGCAGGACATTCTTTCCAAGTTTAGTTGGCTAGTTTAGAATCCTGTCTTGTCCCTATCCTGTTTAGAATGGCATTCCTTATAATAAAGGACTCATATTAGTTGGCTGAGATGCAAAGGCTCTTAAGTGTGAACTTTCCCCCCTCAAAGAACAGCCCAACGCAATTCCACTCTGCCCTCCAGAAGGTCCTGTCAGAAACTACTGCTGCCTGTTTCGGTCTTTCCTTACCTGGCAGGTGCAGACGAGGCTTTTTTACTCGATGTCGCTGCGGGGCTGCAAAGAAACGACACAGGTGGGTCACCCCATCAAAGCACAAAGGGCTCTCAAAATGTCTCGAGAGCCCTAAACGTCTGCTGACAAAGCAACCAGGAGAGGCAACTCTGTTCTTGCAGCAAAATACTCCATCCTCTCAAGATCCACATGGCATGCAAGCTGAGTGGCAAATCCTGCTAGTACAAACGGCAGACCTGTCAATTAGCAGGGTCAGCCCAGCCTGGAGAAGGGATTGCCCAGAGGGCTGGTGCACAGTCCCCCCACAAAATCTCTCTTCCCTCCCTCTCAAGGATCATCCCTGACGCCTCTCCCTTAGCCCTGCCCTCTGGTGCACCAGCTACAAATGTGTGCCCTTCACCCTTAACTCTTCTCCAGCATTGTTATGTTGTTATGTGCTTTCCCCTCTGCCAAATGACAAGAAGTTCCAGGGGCTGCACTAATGGGGGGGGGGCTGGTTTACCTTTGGAGGGAAGAGTGTGAGGCGGCAGGGGAATTTGCAACATTTGCTTTGTTTACTAAGGTATGAACAGAGGCCAGGTGGAAACCAAAGGCACTGCTATAGGGTAGTGGGTCTGCTATACCACCTCAGCCTAAACCCTGCAAATGCTTCAACTTAAACAGAATAACAAGCAAAAGGTGGGTGTGGCTGGATAACCACACTTCTGGTAACATGGGGGTGCGGCCTAATGTGCTAATGAGCTGTGCTGTCAGGGGTGTGGCCCAATATGCTAATGGGTTCCTGCTGTTGGGTGTGGCCTATTGTGCTAATGAGGTCCTGCTGGGCTTTTTCTACAAAAAGATCCCTACTTTTACCTATTTATTAACTCATCCCCCTGGAGAGGAGGGATGCTTTGGAGGGTGGACTGTATGGCATTTGACCCCACTGTGGTCCCTGTGCTCCCCCAGACTCCATCCCTAAATCTCCAGGATTCTCCCAACCCAAATCTGGCAACCTTCCCCCTCCCCCTTCCCCTGCTGGTGGCTGGGGGGACCTGGCAACCCTAATTCCTGTTATTTCTGACAGACACACATCCGCTTCTGCCACCTTCTCTCCTCCAATGGGGGAATGTCACGTTCTGCAAGCTAACAGGCAATAGGGTGGCCAGCTCCAGGTTGGGACGTTCCTAGAGGTTTGGGGGTGGAGCCTGGGGAGGACAGGGACCTCAGCAGAGTATAATGCCATAGAGTCGTCACTCCAAAGCAGCCATTTTTTCCAGGGGAGCTGATCTCCGTTGCCTGGAGATCCGTTGTGATGCCAAGAGAGCCTCAGGTGCTAGGGATGCCAGCCCCCAGGTGTGACCTGGAGAATCTCCCAAAATTAGAGCTCCACTCCAGACCACAGAGATCAGTTCCCCTGGAGAAGAGGGATGCTTTGGAGGCTGGACTGTATGGCATTTGACCCCACTGAGGTCCCTGTCCTCCCCAGGCTCCACCCCCAGATCCCCCAGCCTGGATCTGGCAACCCTACCCTCCCATCCCCTGCTGGGGGCACCTGGCAACCCCACCGCACCTGGAGGTTGGCAACTGCATGATGTAGAACATAAGAGCTCTGGGTGGGCCATCTCTCATTGAGGAAAACGTCAACAGCCTGTGTTTAAAATTGACCTTATATTGTCAGCAGCCCTGATTGCCATTGAGGGACACCTGCAGACCAAAACTCGCAATGCCATCCTGTTCCCTATGAGTCTCCCCCACTCTCCGGACCTTAAGGTGGCCCCCAAATCCACTGCCTGCATGCTCAGACCACCCCCCTCAAAATGATTATACTTTCTGAGTGCCACTTACATCAGCGATTTTTTGCAAACCAATGGTTTGCTTGGGCCCCCCATCCCTACAGGAAATTCCTGGAGATTTGGGGTTGGTGCCTGGGGAAGGGTGGCATTCAGGGAGGGGGCTCAGTGGGGATGTGGTCCCATAGAATCTGCCCTCCAAAGCTGCCATTTCCTCCAGGGGAACTGATTTCTGCAGTCTGAAGATCACTTCCTGGAGGATTCTAGACCCCCACCCTGGAAACTGGAAGCCTATCCATGGGCCAAGAGACAATATTTAATTTTTCTTACTAACCCTCCTGATCAGCTGCTCTCAAGACAGATTTTTTTAAAAAATACATAAATAAAAATACCTGAATTAAAACTCAATGCAGGTTTAAATACCAATGCTTCCCTCCAAAGAAACTGGAGTCTGAGCGGGAAAGGGACTTTAGCAGAGAAATGCTGCCTGATATAATATACTAACCAACCATCTTTCCTATCCCAGCATCTCTTCCAAGGAACTCAGGGAACTGCACCTAGTTCTCCCCTTTCTCATTTTAACCTCACGACAACCCTGGCAGGTAGATTAGGCCGAGACAGAGAGAATGACTGGCCCAAGATCACGGAGTGAACTTCATAGCTGAGCTGGATGCGAGTCTCCCCAGGCCCGGTCTGGCAGATTAACCATTGGAAAGTGCCATCAAGTCACAGCTGGCTTAGGCCGACCCTGCAGGGTTTTCAAGGCAAGAGATGAACAGAGGTGGTTTGCCATGGCCTACCTCCGCATAGCGACCCTGGACTTCCTTGGCGGTCTCCTATCCAGGTACTAACGAGAACTGGCCCCGCTTAGCTTCTGAGGTCTGATGAGATCGGGCCAGCCTGGCCCATCTAAGTCAGGGTGACTCAAAACATACAGGATGCTATTGTGGTACGTCAGAGGAATAAGGTTGCCAACCTCCAGGTGGTAGCTGGAGATCTCCCCTTATCACAAATTACTTCCAGGTGACAGAGATCAGTTTACCTGGAGAAGAAATGGCCGCATGGGAAGGTGGATGCTATGGCATTAATACCCCATTGAAGTCCTTCCCCTCCCCAAACCCTCCCCTCCTCAGGCTCCACTCCACAAGTCTCCAGGTATTTTCCCCACCTGGAACGGGCAACCCTACAGAGGAAGAGGCGGCTATCCTTTGTACAGCTGGTGGTCCCCACTGGGATGTTTTCCCTTCTGGGGTGGGCACCAGTGTTCCCTCTAAGCTGAGTTAGTGTGAGCTAGCTAGGGTTCCCACCCCCCCGGGGGGCGGAATTCCCCCCAGTTTCGAGCCCCGATTCCCACTCCCGCGGAATCGGGGCCCAGGGGAAACCCCACCCCCGCGTGTGCGTCACCCGGAAGTGACGTCGCACGCTGGGGGCGGGGCCACGCCATTTGAGGGGAAAACTCTTTGTTTTCCCCTCAAATGGTGTGGCCCCGCCGCCCAGCGTGTGACGTCACTTCCGGGTGACGCACACGCGGCGCGCATGCACGCGTAGCGCGCATGCACGGACAGGATGCCGTCCGGGAGCCCCCTGCTCCCGGACAAATTGGATTTGGCAACCCTAGAGCTAGCTCACAGTTTTTTAGCCTCCAGCTGACAGATTT